GGGCAGCTTAGCTGCCAGCTGCTGCATGCCATCGGAAATGCCACGGGAAATGGCCCTAGATACCACCTCCTCCATGGCCTTGGATAGTAAGGGTTCCTGGAGTTGAGGTGGGGAGGGGCTCTAATTCAGAAGGGACGAGGGATTCCTCCTCATCCCCACAATCTATATCACCCAGGGAATCCTCAGCTATGGAGGGAACTGGGGATCCCATCGATGCCCTAGAAGGATTGGGGGGAAACCCAAATTCCTCGGAAGGGCCTGGAGGAGGAGCTCCTTGCTGGGAAATGGCCAGGGAAAACTCACCCCCTGTCTCAATGGGACTGGAGCTCCCAGAAAGTCTACGCTGTGCGGCCTAGGTTTTCTGGAACTGCTTTTCCAGGGCCTTCTGGCGTCTCACAGCAATTTTCTCCTCAGCCTTGGAAGTCACCCCTGGTTTGGGCTGTCTCCCTTTAGAGAGAGCACCCACCCTAACACTCTTGGCTGCAGGGGTAGGCCTACTGTATTTTTGGGTAGTAAGCCCTGTCAGGATCTCCTCCTGTCTCTCCCCAGTGCCACCCTGATGGCCTACCTGCTGTTCCATTGAGGCTGGTTAGGATACAGGCCTGAAAGGGCGATGTAGGCCGGGCTCAGGGCCTCTGATGGCTTCGGGCCTTCTACTCTGGAGGGGAGAGACCAGTTAGGGCAGGCTAGAGAGTCTAGCCGAGAGCCTGCAGATCTGCGCTGGCAGGTAGTTCAGCGTGGAGTGCCAAGGTTCCCTGCGGCCGCAGCAAGGAGGGATGGTCCCTGCCTGGCCACCCAGAACGAGGTCCCACGCTTAGAGCTGCCCTCCGTGGCGATCTGCTGGGTGGACAAAGGCTGCGCAGTTAATTTAGAGGCTTCTGTAAAGATTTGCACCAAAATAAACCGCGCGCCAGGAGCGACTTCGGGGCCTTTGGAGCCTAGCACTCCTTGCGAGGGGAATATCAGCTGTTATAACTCACCCTCGCAGTGCGAGCGATGGCCTCGCACTCCCCAACTCACAGCATGACTCACGGAGGAGGATAGGCTGGGAGGACTCCGGGCAGCCTGTCCATGCTGCTAGCAATTACCCCCCCAATGCAAAGGGATATAAAGGGGGAAGGCTAACCTAAACTACACTATCTAAGCTAAGAAACCTAGGGAATAACCCAAAGAATAAACGAAAATTAAAATAAAAGGGAACTACAATCTCTCACAAGAAGGGTCTGAGTCCAGGTTGATGCCCGAGAACTGGAGCTCAGCAAAAGACATACTATAGGGTGACTGAGGTTTTTGAAACTGAGCCTCTGAGGCAACCAAGAGGCGGAGCAACAATCAAATTTAAACTCAGTTCCTTGGGCAGCAAGCTGAAGTTAACCCGTGCTTGGACACTCCAAGCAGCGCCTAGGAGAAAAATGAAATATTTTAGGAAATATTAAAAAGGCAGAATATTATATTTCCCTGGATGAGAAATGGATGTTTTTAGGCAGGAAACAGACTCACTCTTAATAGGTTCCACCATCCTCAATAGCCCACAGCAGATGTCTGAGCTTAAGAGATAAAGAGATAGCTAGGTCTATTCATAGGCAAATGCCCTTACCCAAGATCCAACAAAGGTAGGATTAGCCCTTTACCTATCTCACCACATGGCACCTGGGAATATTACATCATCCAGCAAGGCTGAACCAAGCCTGGGACTCAGGACAGGCTACAGAGTTGCCCTTGCATGGCCCCATGGGAGTCTGACAACCAATCAGAATACAAGCTCAAATTCAAAAGCACAGAGAGGGTATAAAACTTGGGCAGTTTCAGCATCACTGCCCCCCTTTTTTTCTTCACCCAATATCTTCAAGGCATTTGATCCTGTCCACCATTAAAACCCGTGACCCGTCAAAACCGCGGTCCACAAAAGTGTGCTCGACGAAAGCGTGCATTTGAAGTCATCACAGCGCGACGAAAAAAATTAAAAATTGAAATAAAAATAAAAATAA